GGGGACGGACAAAGGGAGCGATCAATGGCAACAATGCGGCATCAACCCGATAACCAAGCAAAAACACACACACAGACACACAGACACACGACACACAGACACACAGACACACAGACACACAGACACACAGACACACAGACACACAGACACACAGACACACACACAGACACACAGACACACAGACACACAGACACACAGACACACAGACACACAGACACACAGACACACAGACACACAGACACACAGACACACAGACACACAGACACACAGACACACAGACACACAGACACACAGACACACACACACAGACACACACAGACACACAGACACACAGACACACAGACACACAGACACACAGACACACACACACACAGACACACACACACACACACACACACACACACACACACACACACACACACACACACACACACACACGCACGCACGCACGCACGCACGCACGCACAACGCACACACACACACACAACACACACACACACACGCACGCACGCACGCACGCACGCACGCACGCACGCACGCACGCACGCACGCACGCACGCACGCACGCACGCACGCACGCACGCACGCACGCACGCACGCACGCACGCACGCACGCACGCACGCACGCACGCACGCACGCACTTCACGGCAAAGGAAAAGCTGGGAAGCAAAAACCGCGAAGATCTCGGGAACTGCCGGCCTGCTGGCTTTGGAACCTTGGACCTCCTGCACAAATGGAGCCCAGCTGCTTCGGTGCGTTGCAACCGGAGCACGTTGCACCTGCAAAAAGGGCCCTTCAAGCTACGGTAGGTGCCCTCCGTCCACAAGATCGGCATCAGGGTGTTGAAAAGAATATTACACTTTGGAAAGGCCATTCTGACTCATCCAAGGTAAGCAATGCAGGGATAGTGCATGACTGTCAACGTTCAAAAACCAATGTTTCAACCTCTTTAGTTATTTGGGCACTACTCCGTTTTGAGGCAGGCCCGTCATGGCATGTACGGACCTCAATTTCGTGAGAAGAGCAGTTTCGTTAGAGGTCGTATGTACGGCGCGTGCAGCTGGCTTGAGCTGCCGTTGGCCATGTATTGGAGACGAAACGAAGTGTTTCCAGTTTCATTTCCAAACATGGCCACCTGGCATGTAGGCCGAACACCACAAACACGTTACCAAAACACCAGCTCCAGAGGACATCAAGAGCACAGGTTCAAGGTTCCAACTCACTTGACATTGCTTGTTTTACTTCCATGAAGTTGCGCGCATGGACCAATCAAGGCTGCTTAAGATTCTTCGTGATTGAGAAATTGTAAGCTTCCTTGTTTGTTTGATGGGCTAGCAAGGCAGACTCGATGGCACCCAGCAGGTCCTTGTGGTCTCACTGGCTAGGCCTGGCACGTGGCTTGGACAAGGCACCGGAAGAAAAACGATGTGTCCACAAGCCACCTCTGGTGTCTTCCTACGAGCGTTCTACATCACTGCGATACACAACCAGCTCAGGCTACTCACTTGGATCTTGATGCTCTTATCTAACCGTACCTGAACTCCGCGCAGTTTCCAGGCTCAAAAGGTGGTTATGCGGCATAAACCGTGACCCCACCGGCCTAGGGCCGAGCTAATGACATCCAGCTGCTGCACGCAAAGCCCGACGAGAGCCTCTGCCTGCATCCGGGATCGAGTCGGTAGCCGTGTGCCTCATTTGAATCACACATGTGGCAGCACGTGCAGTGGCGCCGCGCGCTACTGACTAGGGTTACCTCCGCAACCCAACAAGTCAAAACTGCTAAACTGTATGAGCATGCCGAAATGTCAGATATGTATATCCGGGCAAATGCATGGGGCGGACTATTTTGCCATGTCCAATGTGTCAGAGAGCCTTTGAGGAAGGGGATGATGGCTTCCTGATGATCCGCAAGGCAAGTGCTGGCGCTGCCCTGCCAATGATTCAATGCATGCAAATATGTTGCTGTAGCAGCAGCAGACACAAGCAAAGCTCGTGCAAAGGCTGAAAGTGAAGTGCCAATGACAGGTGGAACTTGCTCACAACCACTGCATACCATGCCAGAATATTGGAGTGCGCCCAGGAAAATGTGAAAAGGCTATGTTAGAGAGCAAGGGGGCATCTGTGCACGCGCATGAGCGTACGGGCATGGTTGAGGGCTCCCTAGACCAGAAATTTCTCCACGCCCTCCCCCAGGCCATGTCAGGGCAGCTGCGGTTCCGCAACGCCTGACCGGCTGACCGGCTGAGCTTGCTGTCACCTTTCATGAGCCCTCAATCTGCCCTCAATCTGCCCTCAATCTGAAACTGGCTTGATCGCATGTCTTTGCTGCGAACAAAGCCTTAATCGCGCTAAAGAGTGATGCACTACTTCAAGCGATTGGGTAAGCACCTCGCAACGAAAAGTGGGGACTCTCCGTATGTACGGGTGCGTGTGCAAAGGTGCGTATGTGTGTGTATGTACGTATATACTTATGTATCGATGTACTCATGTGGCAATGGACCTATGCATGCACTGTACGTAAGTGCGTACATCCATACGTCCGAGCGTCTGTACATCTGTACATCTGTCCGGTCAATCCATCTGTCTCTGTCTGTCTCTGTGTCTCTCTGCGGTCTCTGTCTCTCTTTCTGTCTGTTTCTGTCTGTGTCAGAGAAGCAGAGACAGACAGACAGACAGACAGACAGACAGACAGACAGACAGACAGACAGACAGACAGACAGACAGACAGACAGACAGACAGACAGACAGACAGACAGACAGACAGACAGACAAAGGACACAGAGACAAACAGATAGACACAGAGACAGAGAGAGAGCGAGAGAGTCAGAGACAGAGAGAGAGTCAGAGACAGAGAGACAAAGAGACAGAGATACAGAGAGACACAGAGACAGACCGAGTCTTTCTGTCTGTTTCTGTCTGTGTGCGTCTGTCTTTCTCTGTCTTTCTGTGTCTGTGTCTGTCTGTCTGTCTGTCCGTCTATCTGTCTCTTTCTGTCTCTTTCTGTCTCTGGTCCGTCTCTGTCCCTCTCTGTATCTCTGCCTCTCTGTCTCTGACCCTCTCTGTCCCTCTCTGTCTGTCTCTCTGTCTGTCTCTGTCTGTCTCTGTCTGTCTCTGTCTGTCTCTGTCTGTCTCTGTCTCTCTGTCTGTCTGTCTGTTTACAAGTAAATATTCGCACATAAGTCCGTTTTTAAAAAGGCCGGCGCGCGACTGTACTACGCGCAGGCAGACAAGTTGTTCCTTTGGGCAACACCGACACACGAGGGCAACACCCAACCAAGACGGAAAACAAACAATTGTGTTTGGAAGCATAACTCACTTCAGCAAAAAGAGCTGTGGAACCCATGAGAACGTTGGCATGTGTGTTCAGCAAGGGTGCGGACCGCTGGAAACAAGCAGCTGGAATAACGGAGACACAAGCAGCTGGAGTTCATGTTTGCCACCCGCATGCGGCGCATTCAAAGGCACCCGACCGAGACACGGCTCCGATGCACCTGTTCCAGCAAGCCCTTGAGCACAGAGGCGGCCTGGAAGGCGCGGCTAAGCAGCCTCGGCGAGAAGGCGAAGGGAGAAGAAGTCTCCGGAGAGGCCAAAATACTAACTAGAACTCTTGAAAACAGGATTCCTGAATTTGGAACTGGGAAGATAAAAATGGCCATGCCCGGAAGAGCGGTGATCAGATTACGGAAACCAACTTTGTCTCCCCAGCAAAACAGAGTTGCTTCTACAAGGAAACACTCCGCGCACATCTGTATGGCTTGATCCCTCTCAACTCAAATGAACATCAGCGCGAGGTAGTGTAAACGCAAACCGCTCAGCTTGTTGCATCTGGCCACTACGAACAGAAGCCACGACGATCTACCAGCCCAGGTGTTCATTGCTGTAGGCTTTCTTGCCTGTGGATGGTTCGATGGGCATCTACACCGGGCTTTGAAATATGCTGTCGTCACGCTGGGCAAAGAACAAAAGCCTCGAAATCGAGATGTGTTTGGCCACAATTTGCTAAGAACACTGCTACTGGACGAAGTCCTGCACCGACAATAGACCCCTGTCAACCGCAAGCTTCTCCGGAAAGTACGTCCCGACAATTGAATCGAGTTCGGGCTCTGGTATTCAGGTTCGGCTTCGGTGGAGTTCAGGTGAATGCCAGCCAGGAAGCAAGCAAAGGCTGGAGACCAGGGATGTCTTGATGAAAAAGTCGCAGATCAGCTGGTGCTGGATCTGGGCCGTCACAAGGGCAAAACAATGCGCAAAACGTTGCACGGCACAAATGGCTAAGCCTTGCTAAAAAGGATCCGCGTTAAAGGGCCTCTCAATGCCTTCCCCGGCTCCCTCGGGCTGCAAATGGCAACTCCCCAATTCATAGCCACAACCCTAACGTCAGCCGTGAGCCGCTTGAAAGGCCCGTGCTGCTCTTGCGAGTGAGCGGGTTGGGGCTCTACACTCAGATTGAGAAGGCTCTAAAGACTCTGTTCACCCTGGCCACCCTGCAACGCCTGGCCGCGCTCCGCGAGCTCCCATCCTTGGCCCCGCGACTTCTCTGCCTGCCAGGCCGGCAAATATGGCTTGGCATTCGTTGTTAACGTGATGTATAATGATGTATGTGTGGCCTGGCTTGCTGTTGAGTGGTCTCGCTGGTGCTATGTTCTTGCTTTCCTGTTTGAACAGAAAGGCGGTCTGCCTTTTTGGTTCAACTGATCAGGCGGGTTCGGATAGTCGATTGTTTGTATGACTGGCTGTCTGATTGTCGCTATATAGCTTGATTGTTTAGGCTGCATGCGTTGTCTGGTGGTTGATCTGCTCGATTTGGAGCTTGCTGATTTCGCCAACTCTGTTGGCAAGATTGTCTGCATTGACTGTCTCATAACAAAATATCACGGCCCCTCATGCTCCCTCCGCTGCGTTGGAAGTGGAGTGGCACTGGAAATACAACCACAAGTTCCGTTTTATTTTGTACATTGGCCAATTTCGATGAATTCCCTGTGGCCCCCCCTCAGGAGCTGTGGCCTCTTGCGTGGGTCTGGCTGGCTGGCTGGCTGGCACCTGGTCGACTAACTGAAGGTTTCATTGATTCGGCCGGCTGTTCTAGTTTTGCGTCAGCTTGGTTGGATGAGCTTGATCACTGCTTTGGCGACGTTGGCGACGTTGGCGGCTTTGGCGGCTTTGGCGGCTTTGGCGGCTTTGGCGGCTTTGGCGGCGTGAGTTGGTTGTTGTCTGGGTTGGTTGCTGCTAGAACCTGCTGATGCCTGCTTTTTACACACTGAAAACTGCAGCCTCGTTCAACAACGGCCTATGCAAATCAAGCCCCCGCTTCAACTCAGCACTGGTGCAATCGAATTAAAACTCAGACATGTGCATCCTCGGCCTCCGCCCTCAAAAGCTTCAACCCATTCTCCGGGATGTCCCTCCGGGATTTCCCTCCGGGCATCCCCTCTGGCAGGCGCCTCGGTCGAGAACCTGAAGGAGTGCAGCACACCAGACAGGAAGTCCAAGATGACGTCCACGCCTGGCGAGAACGGACCGAATCCGGAGATCCGGCCTGAGGCCCAGGGCATGCGAAAAAGGCGGCACCCTGCGCAGGAGTTCGGCAGCTTTGAGCAGAAACTGAACCCATTGTGTACCAGGATCCGGAGCTTGAAAAGGGATTCAGACTGACTTTGCTGAGGGCGCTGTTTGATGCCTCCATGTTCAACCTGTCGGTGTCAAACTCAAAGCACCCGGCGGTCGCAGTGAGAACGCCTACATTCGATTGCATGGACACCAGCCCTGCCTGCACGCTCCGCCGGGTCAGGTGACCTGCCAGGGAAATGAAGCCGTGCTATTACTTTTTTTAATGTAAGCCATGAGCTTGCGAGTGCCTTGAAGCACAACATAAGGATGCTGATAGCTCACAAGTTCATCGTGGCGCAAACTTCAAAGAGATCACCGATCACTTGGGTCGCTGCACCCAGAATCTATCGGTCTGGCTGAAGGAGCCCCGCAATTAAGTCGCTTGCAGCCGTGACGCGTTCATATGCCGAAATGCTGGCACTGCGCTTGCATCGGAGCAAGCAGCCTGAACTCCAGCTACCTGGCCTCTGACCAACATGAGCAAGGGGTTAGCATGGCAATCTCAGCATGGCCTCCCTTCAGCAAAACGACTGATGCTGCCCCGCCTCTCACCCAGGCCTCAGCGAAAGTCAGCCACGGCCCTCAAAGATCTGGAACCGATGTGTCTCAAAGGTTGGCGTCTTGGCGTCTTGCCGTCTTTGAGCTTACGAACTGTCCGATTTCGTCACGGGGCGATAGGAGTCAAAAGGGAATCCGAGTGAAAATGGCATCATCTGAGGGCTTGAACCTGGACTTGTCTGGGTCTCCTAGCGAAAACCATACCTTCGTCTGACAAAAGCCCCTTCCAAAAACAATCCGTCTGCAAAGCCTAAAGCCTGGTCTTGACCAATGATAAGCTGGCCGGTGCACGGGAGAAGGCATCCCAAAACAAGGACAAGGCTCCCGCTTGGACTTCGCGATGCTGCCTGGGCAGGGAAATCATGGTTACGGGTTCGCACCCCATCATATTCGCCATTAGCGCCTCATGCCAAGTCTACAACATGCGCATCTAACTTTAGTAACATTATCAAATTTCCCATCCAATGGCGTTTGCAGCCAATTGTTTGGCGTGACCTGGGTTTTGAACACATGTTGTTGCTTGTATTCACTTCCACTGGTCTCATGTGTGTTGCCTCCCTATATCTATATATGTATATAATTTACATATTCATATATATACATATATATATATATGTACCAGTCCCTGGGCCACGTACCCCCCCCCAATGGTATGGTCCCCCCACTCCCCCGCATCATCCGCATCTTGGGGATGATGCTGGCAATGCTGGGGATGCTGTCCAGTACCGTGTGAGCCCTGCAGCTTCGGTCCCAGACTCCCCCTTTCACCCCGTGAACCAACACCCCGCACCTCTCGCAACATCCTACCCTAAACCAAACCACCCTGCAACCCCTCCTTAACCCCAACCCTAAGCCTAAATCAACCCAAACCCCAAACCCACCCAAAACCCACCGCAAACCAACCCTGAACCAACCCCAAACCAACCCACCAAGCCTAAACCAACTCCGAACCACACCCCAACCACCCAACCACCCAACCACCCAACCACCCCACCACCCCACCACCCCAGCACCCCACCACCCACCCCACCCCCACAGGGGGGGGGGGGTTGGGGGGGGGAGGGGGGGGAGGGGGGGGGTCCACGGCCTGGAAGGCTCCACCTCCAGTGAAAATATCTAAAACGCGCATGCTTGGGCACGTCTGTTTCGGGAAGAAGTTGGGATTCATGCTCACCCTGAGTTGCTTTGTAGACTTAAATGGAGATGCCCGCAAAGGGCCAGTGACGCAAAACGCCAGCGTGGATTCACGAGCAAAAACCCCAAGGCGTTGCAAACCGAGCTCCAAGTCAAACCACATCTCACGAAGGCTCATCATCGAACGCCGCCACGGTGGCGCTACTAAATGGTTCAGGCTTCAAAACGGAGCACCCCTTTCTCTGAGAGAATTGGTTGGTGCCAAATTGGGATGAAAGGCCCAAGTTGAGTTGGGCCTCCTCTCAGCAACTGATGGGAGACGATTTGATGCCAGCTCACCCCACACCCTCACCGGGCAACTGGGGTCTGGATGAGTTTGCTCATCGGCCCAGGTGTTGAACTCGCGCTTGACATGCGAGTGACCTAACATGGCAAGGTCCAAGGTTGGCACAAGCTCCATCAAGATGGCCGCATGGGGCATCTTCTAGGAGGAGGCGCCGGACAAGGAGCTTTTTCAACTGGAGACCCTCGAAAAGCCCGTTGCTGCGCTTGAGCTCTTCGACTTTTACTTCTGGTGAGAGCTGTCTTGCTCTGCACTGAAGGCTCGGTCTCACACTCCCGAATCCTGGTGACAACCAGGCGAATGTCTTTTCCCTTTTCTTTCCACTTCGCCTCATCCTTCGGTCACAGGCAAGCACCACCAACAGGCATGGTCCGCCTCGCCTGGGAGCGAAGGGCGAAGCCAGGACCAGTTTGGGGCCTGCCGGAGTGTCGCACAACTCTAGAAGGGTTGAAGGAAGGGCTTCGCCAAGGGGCAGGCCGACGTGGCCTACTGGACTCTGCCGAGGTAAATCATTCGCGTTTCGCGAGTCTGGAGTGTGGCAATGATGACGACGTCCTTGGCCGGAGCCAACAGCACGCAAGGAAACCCAAGCCATGGACGGGGGAGAGTGCTGCTTTCTTCCACAACAGCAGCACCCCCAAGAGCAGGAGGGTGACTAGAATTGGCGAGCCCGGCGTTGCCCTACTTGGGCGAACAAGGCGTACAGGAGTCGGAGCATGAGAGCTGTCTTTCAGCCCGGCTGACGCCATGCCCTACGTATCCACCTTGTGTGTGCAGGCGCCTCTTTATTTCGTCGCATCTGCCTTAGGGAGGATGAAGACCTCCCCCAGCCTTGGTGGACCCCCTAACCGTTTTGAGCGTCGCCTTGGTCCTCCCTCTCTACCAAGTTAGCCAGGCACCTTTCCATGCATGGAGGCGCGAGCCTCCGCCACACTCATAGGAGAGTACATGGCTTGAGGGGGCCATAGGGTAGAATTTCACTCCAAGAACTGGAACAAGTCCACGGCTCAAATTGTTCTCAAGTGGACCCTTACGCTGAGTTAAGACAGGTGTACACCTACGGCTACCCTTCAGCCCAGTCACCAGCCTATTGAATAACCCACCGAAGCATTGACGGCTGAACCATTGAATTCCCACTTTCAATTGGCCACACCGGCTACCCTGCCTCTGGTGTCCGTAGTTGAGATGCCTGCCCAGCATGTGAGGGCTGCACATATGGTGAGTCCCAAATGGAAGACACATCGTGCAGGGGTTGCACCAGAAAGGACGCTATATCAGCAGTGAGGATGCGACCCGCATCCTTTTGAAAGTTCAGACCAGCTGGCATTGAAACCAGCCATCTGATGGCTTTGCAGCCGAGGTCATTCGTGCCACCCTGGAGGAGAAACCACGAAATAGAACCCAATGACAATCTGGGCTGAAAAGTTGCAGCCGGCCTCGTTCGACCCTGTGGAGCGTCGTTTCAGTTGCAGCTCTGTATTGGAAGAAAAGCTGCGAAAAAGAGAGGACTGTACCGGTCTGATTCTCAACGTTCACTCGGAAACCCCAGCTACCGGGCCTCAGGTGTTCGCAGTTGAGGTTGAGATGCCTGCGCACAAGTGGCGAGTTGTCTCACAAACCAGCCCTGATCTCTGCCGTCCCTTTTTGTCTTTGACCATGTTGCAGAAGTTCTGAGCAGCTGAAAAGAAAGGGTGAGTTTTGGTCTTGGTTAGGATTGGTTTTGGAGTGTTGCCTTAAACCACCAAAACTCGCCAACAACTCACGCAATGTTTTTAAGGACTGGTGCTGCATTGAGTGGATTGAGGTCAACAAGTGTCACAGCAAATGCTTCTGACCTCTACCCGTTTCTTTTTTTTCGGCAGATAGAAATGATAGAAAAAAAACGTTTTTGATCTTGGATGCGCTTTGTTTGATGCCTTTCACGAATTGTTGCTGCGCATGAATTTATTGGGCGTGTTAGAATGATTGCATAGCCTTGGCAGTTCAGATGTTCAAAGGCCTCGATGGACCATTGCAGGCAGAGCCAGGTAGCTAGTTACGTATCATGTCACAGTCACAAGTGGGTTGCGTAACCACATCCCTAAAGCAACCCTAAACGCACCGCTTAACCAGCAGCACACCCAACACAAATCAGCTCCAAGCCAACTCCAAATCCACCCAAAGTCAACCCTAAACCCGCCCAACAGCAGCCTGGATGTCGGCCCTTCGCTTTGCCCAAATCAACCCCCAAACTACCGCCCTCATCAAGATCTAGGCCAGCCTAAACCGCCCCTAACTTAACCCCAGCAACGCCTGCCGGGGATGCGGCAAGCCAACCGACCAACCAACCAACCAACCAGCCAGCCAGCCAGCCAGCCAGCCAACCCAGCCCTACTAAAAAACCAGCCCTACCAATTCCAAACTTCAACAGTTTGCGAAGAAAAACTTCCGGACCTTACTCTTGAAACTTACACCTGCACAAGCGTCTGCTCCAAGCAAGGCAAGCTGCAACAGGATACGCGGACTTTGCCCCTGGGGGGAAGTCGGTGCACATGTAGGTACATACAGGCGAACATGTCTGCACATATGTATGTATGTCTGTCCGTCTTGTCTGGTCTGGTCTGGTCTGCTCTGGTGTGCTCTGGTCTTCTCTGGTCTGCTCTGTTCTGGCCTTCTCTGGTCTGTCTATCCATAACAATAAAAAAATAAATAAATAAATAAATAGATACATAAATAAGTAAGGAGTATGTGTGTATGTATGTCTGCCTGCCTGCCTGCCTGCCTGCCCGCCTGCCTGTTTGCGTGTCTGTCTGTCTGTCTGTCTGTCTATCCAGCCCGTTGTGTCTGTATGTCTGTATGCACGCATGTGTATGAAAATATTTTGTGTATAGAAATATATAGAAATATGTGTGTATGAGTGTGTGTGTGTGTGTGTATGTATGTATGTGAGCATGTATGTAGGTAGGTATGAAAATGCATGTATGTAATGCATGTACGCATGTGTGTTTGTGTGTGTGTGTGTGCATGTATGTATGCATGTATGTAATGCATGTACGCATGTGCATATTATATATATATATATGTATATCTGTATATGTGTATATGTGTGTGTGTTCGTGTATGTGTGTATGTGTGTATGTGTGTATGTGTGTATCTGTGTATCTGTGTATGTGTGTATGTGTGTATGTGTGTATGTGTGTATGTGTGTATGTGTGTATGAGTGTTGTGTTGTATGAGTGTAGTGTAGTGTAGTGTAGTGTAGTGTAGTGTAGTGTAGTGTAGTGTGGTGTGGTGTGGTATGGTGTGGTGTGGTGTGGTGTAGTGTAGTGTAGTGTGGAGTATTCTATTGTATTGTCTTGTCTTGTATTGTCTTGTATTGTATTGTATTGTATGTTTGCTTGCATGTATGCATGTGCTCTGCAACATTGACAATATGTTTATCCGCCAGGTGCGTACTCTGCACAGTCCGTGCCTGATCGCATGTGATAGGATTAATTTTCATGGAAGATGCTTCGACTGGCTGCATTTTTCACATGAGCATAGGGCACCTTCCGGCATGTGACACACCAACCTTCAATGGTGAAAGCATCTGGTCCAAAGAAGAATTGATGGGCCCTGTTGGTGAAGGAAACATTTTCTCAGCAGCCAACTTGATCCTGGAATCCAGAACTTTCCAGGCCTCCGGGGTCCCAAAGCACCAGGGACGCATGTTGCAGGGGAATGCAAGTATCAAACTAGACTACGGCGTTGGTACGGCTAGCGTTTGGCAAAGAAGTTGCTTCTGTTGGAACTCCACTACTTTGACACCCAATGCAATTCTTGCTATCTGGGATTTATGATGGTACAATCTGTTGTCTATGTTCCTATTGGTGGCTCAAGCTCTACACCTCTCATATCGGTCAAGAGTCAATGACACTTTGAACTTGGCAGACTGTACATGCCTTGTCCGAAGCCGAGGCACATTTCAAGCAGCATGGTCACAGCAAGCCAAAGACAGTCTTTCGGCAAAACAAGCTGCAAGAAATACAATGACACCCATCTGAAACCTGACCAAATGTCTGGGGTGGTGAAATGAGTTGGGCCAAAGCCAGATATATGGACATATCTAAACCACCGGACTGTCTGAACTCGCAGACGTGAAGCAACAGCGCTGTGCCGAAATCCGAAATCACAGCAGCTCACTGCCCTGGCATTTCCGTCGATTCAAGGGCCCGGAGCTGGCGCAGGAAGCCCTCGTTCGGGCTGACTCGGGGCCTGCGCCGCTTCAGCTCCGTCAGCACCTGGCTGACATTTTGGGTCCTGAGTCCAAGCAGATGTGCGACCCAGTGAACCAAATCTCCGCCAAAACCAAGCCACCCACACACACACACACACACACACACATGCGCGTGCGCGCGCACGCATACACACGCACGCGCGCACGTGTAAATCTCCGGTAAACATCGGTGGGAGGGGGGGGGGGTGGGCGATTGAAAACAGAGTACTGCTGTCAGGCCTAGTCGCTTCGAAGCCACATGCAGCATGTACGCAGCGACTATTGTAGCAGAGCGGCTCTGCCCGTGCTTGCAATGCACGAGAACATGACCTTCATGCTGGCCCATGGCATTCGCGATGAAATGTGTGCTCTCTGCAAAGTATTCACAGATTTGGTTGTCTGCCGAATCCTTAGTACGGCCCAGAGACCCAGTCCATGGACTATGTTCACATGTATGTAGCCAGCCAATGTAATAGGATAGGCTGCTGAAAGCGACTGCAGTGGTACAAGGATCTAAGCCAGGAGGCTCCTCGCTTGATGAATGTTCCTGAAAGCCCCAAACCTTCGGAAGAAACTTGCTGCGGTAACCTCTCTACACAAGTCAAGGAAGAAACTCGAGAAACCGACCAGAGAACTTGAGCAACCCCAGAATGCTTCGGGATGTCTTCCCTTCAAAAGCAGCAGTGCGATGTTCCAGCGAATGAAGCCTTTGGGATCAGGTGAGAAGACTTGAGGCCTAGACAAGTGAATCACCGCAGTCCTCATCACTACAAATATGGCAAAAGTGTGGATCGTTGTAACCTTGCTGTGTCTCAGTACATGTTGTGCACTGGGGCTGACAAGACTCTAACCATACTAAAGTTTGTCTCTGCCCCAAAATATACTGCTGTGTAGAAAAGGGCTCGCTCAGCCCGCCTGCAACAGCCGAACTTCAACAATGTGCTGATGGGTCCTGGGCTTCACAAAGAGAGAAAGTCCCCGACCTTGGCCAACCCAGAAACCCAGCAACCACCGCCTTCCAGGTGTCTCCCTTGGCTCCAAGGCTCGTCCACTGGCACCCTCAGCCGGGCGATGAGAGCCACGTCCTCTGCACGGATGGGCCGCTCCCCGGCCCCGGCTGCCTGGCCGTTTGCCTCGCGCAGCTGGGCCACGAGCTCGTCCACAAAGGGCAGGTCCCGGGTGCAGTTCACCACAAAGCGGATGCCAAGGGCGCGGTAGGTGTGGGGGTCGCTGGCCACCCCGAAGTTGCTCAAATAGAGCCGCGCGCCTCCACTCTCCGATATGAGAGAGGGGTACAACCGGCCCAGCTCGAAGGAAGGGTGCTCAGGGTGAAGACACGGAAACTGGGCATAAAACATCCGCGCCGTGCAGGACAGAAGGCAGACCTCCTTCACTAGAGGATCTTCACCATCGAAGCCAGATCTACGAATGTAACGCTGAAGATGTATTGCTTCGTTCTCTGCGCCGTCCCCCATGACTACCACAGTCCAACCACGCGCACGTCTCTGCGAGAGCACCTGGGGTTGTTCAATTTCATCAGCAACAATATGCCTCGTTGTCACTTGAGCGAGAATCAAGGCCTAGTGTACTAACAGAAGATATGCTACAGTGGTCTACCTAAAACCAAGTAAAGAATCACTAAGCTTCACTGATCCGGCATTTCTGCTTGCTCTTGCATGATGAACAAACTGAAAGAATATGCGAGGGCCCTCTTCCTGGCTGTAGAGCTCAAGAACACACTCTTGCGCTCTTGCATTCGTCCACTACCAATGCCTCAAGGAGCTGATTGAACACCTGAGGCGCCATGAAGGTGAGCTCGGTCTCATCAGTGAGCTCACAAAACGTACTGCCAGTGTCCACCACGAGCATCAGATCCCGCATGTCCTGCAGGCGATTGAAGAGGTCCAACGCGCTCAACTTGGCTTGTGACAATGCCTGCGACCAAAAGATGCCCATCGCGATGGATATCACGCTGCGAGCCCCCAAACGCCATGCTTGCCCCGAAACGGCTGCGAAATGGAGAACAGTTCCAATTCTAACTCTGATCACTTCCGACCTGCCTTTCCGGCCATTGATACACAAGCAACTTACAACTTGCGATCCGAACCCTAAAACTGCAACTGCCCGCGCCATTTCTAGAGCTTCTCCTCAATATGGCGCGAGCACAGCAGTTGGCCAACTCTTCCTCTTCAACAAGTGTCCAATCGTCAGCCGAAGGACGGGTTTACTCCCCAAATCAGATGGAATGCATCAAACGTGCTGGATGGGTGTCGACAAAATCAAGACAAAACAATGGTACTTAATGACAAAAGATCAGACCATGTGTCCAAGGCTTCGGCACGCACGTCATCCTCTTCAAAAGTGCTTGTCTAGTATCGAATTGTGTTCATACTAGTGCTTGGTGAGTTCGAGAGATTGAGGGATCCATCAGTTTGACAGCGTAGCTCAGCAGGATTTGTGGTTCCACATTGATCGACAAGTTCACTGTAGAGCAAAAGAGCTGGACTGCTGGAGCCCTGTCAAACATGAAGTCAGTTTGGCAAAGCCACTCTGCCCGCAAGTCCAGAATCAGTAGACCAAAGCCTGGGAAGAGTTGTAGTAACTCAAGAGTACTCAAGTCAAGGATACACGATTTATGCAGTGGTGGAGCCGTCATTTACTTCCGAGATATCACCCTTGTTCGAAGAATGGTCCAGCTCATCGCATGACATTGCAATGCAGCTGTGAAGCTGTCGTTCTGAAGCCCTCATTGCTTTGGGTTGTCCTGAGACCAGAAACCGACGAGCTGCCGATGGCCTCATCAAGCCGAACCTGCGGGCTGGCCGCAAGGCTGGATTTCGAGTTGCCACTCGCAGTTCAAGTGCTCTGTTGCGAGAGGGTCTCCAAACCAGACACCCACTCTTTTTATTCGCTGGAAGTCACTGACTCCGAATCCCCAAACATCGCCGAGGAATGCCAAACTGCCTTCTCGTGTTGTCGGCCGGTCACCCTTGGACCGTCGCCATGGGGTGTCTGCTTCCCACGGTACCGGAACGAGCAAACAACTCAGTGTAGGCAACCGGGCAACCGACAAAAACCACACAATTTGCTCAGACCCAATCAAGCCCCAAAACAGGCGGCATAGGAAGAAACTTCAAATGATCAGGCGGGACAAAACACTCTTCATCGAAGCGACCGAACCAAACCAACCAAAACAAAGCCACGAGCCGCTGTTGGAGGCCAAAAACCAGACTATCCAAAGCTCTCAGCTGCAACAAGCTTGAAATATACAAGCACGCTTGGAGAGACGGACAGTGTCCCCATCAGATTGTGACATCACACAAACCCAGCACTCCAGGACCAATGCCTAGCTGCAGCAATTTCAACTTCCAGAGAGAGGGAGTCCACCACAGTGCGGGCCCGGACACCCATGTGAGGAGTTTTTGAAGTCTGCCACCACCTCCTGCCTGTGGGCGGGGAGGCGTCGAGCAAGGCGTTACTTTGGCCTGGCCAAGCGCGCGCGACGACATTTGAGAAGCCAAAGCCTCAAACATGGAAACTGGCGCCCGTAGAAGCAAGCTTCGTTCTGGCGTCAGAACGTCTCACGCAAGTGGAGCAGAGCCTCCAATCAGTTTCAGCCCAGTCCATACAACATGATGCGAATAGCTTGACTCCGTAGCATTGCCTCCCTCTTTAGGGACAAAGACCCTGGATGGATTGCGAACACAAGGATCCAAGAAAAAAGGCGCAGCTCGGTTCGCAAGACCCGCCACCAACAGTGCCCCACTAATCCTTAGCACACAAAAATTATTGATTCTGGTTGAGCTAGCGACCACTGGTCTTCCAGCATTGCTAACCAGTGATGCCCGCCAAACATGTGCAAGCCTCAAGTGCTGACTGGCCTTAAAGAGGGCCTCAGAAAGCAAAGCCGCCACCAAACCAAATGGCCCAGCCATGCGCTGCAAGTCCCTTCGGTCGCTCGGCCTTTCCAGTCGACCATCCGCCTGATGCACCAGCAGCTGGGCAAGGAACTGACAGATTCAGTCACGTGTCAAGTTGACCCGTGTCAAGGATGTACTAGTACATGGTGGGCATGCTGCACCCTACGGATTGTTTTCAAAGTTGGACAGTCTCTGATGGACAGGTTTGTTTACAAAGTGGATTGATGAAGCAGCTCTAGACTGCCTCTGCAAGCATTCCATATCAAGTTTGCTCGCTGGCAATGCGACTTGGCAAAAGCAGAACCCAATTTGAGAGTATTCAAGGAAAAAAGCGAGCATCATCATGCAGGAGTACCGCCGCGTTACCATTGCATGGTGCTGAGGTCTTGCCTTGTTGACTTTCCAACTCCTTAGCACGTGCGCTTGCAATGATGATCTTGCGCCAATGCTCCAAAAAAACAAACAATCCTAGAGCAAAGAGGGGGGGGGACTAAGTTAGATACGCTAAGCAATCCTGGGGCTTCATGAGAGCATGACAAGAGAGAGTCTCTTCATGCGCAGGAAACTGATGAACCCCCTGACTGCGAATGCCACACTTATTGCAGGCATGTGATCAAGAAAGGGATACCTTCGATGAAGCAAAGCACTGGGAAGGCGGGAAAGATCCCACCGTACCTTCCAAATACCTCAAAATGGCCGACCCTGCAGAAGCCCGACGATTTCTTGCCTGGACTCTTCAGGTGCACCTGGCTGTGACGGATGCAAAGAAGTGCTGCTTGTTGTGATGCAAGAGCCCTGGTCCCCCTTGCACGCAGGCATGGCAGAGGAACACATTAAATCAAAGAAGTAATAAACAAGAGCGGCCCAGGCGGCAAAAGGTAACAACAAGCACGTATCCCAGGCACCTTTGCTGCCACCTCACTAAAGATTGGTGCGTTCACTTATACACGAACTCCGGGCGATCTTGTTGCATGGCATGCCAGTGACCGCAAATTGGGTTTTTAACGTGGGCAGCAAGACGCTTGGAACGGCAATGGAGCGCACGGGACCCCCCGCGCATGCCTCCGGAGTACCGGGCGGAGTTGATGTTGTGGTCCTGGCTTGGAAGCTCGCAAGAACTAAGTAGTAGAAAAGTGAAAGGGAGGGAATACCTGAGAAAAGAGGGAAAAAGACAAGCAAAGCTTGCGAAAGGAAAGAACTGGAACCTGTATCAGTCAGTGTTTGCTTCCATAAGCCTTGACAATACGTCCCTCACGATGCAAAGTCCCAATGCAACTTGCACTTGCCCATGAATGCCTACGGCTACTGCCACCTTGTCATCATGCTGATCATTGAAGCCTATTACAAGCACGACTAACATACTTCATCCACATCCGGCCGTCATCTTGCTGAAACCCGCTCGAAGCTTTGGCTAGTGCAAATGAGAGACAAGGCCATCTCCTCGTGCTCCTGAATTTGTATTAGTCAGCAACCGCCGTCGACCCCAAGCAGCAATGACTTTGCCGCGACCCGGCCATTCAAGTCTCTGAGCCTCGGAGAGTCTCCGCACCCACCTAAGCGCACATCCCAACAGACGCGCGAACCAAACAACCGTCTTAATATAGATCATCCCAAGTGCAATATATAATACACGTGCGTGTGTATATTATATGGTCATACATACTCACATGGCTAGTCCGTCCACCCCACAAAAAGAGATCAGCGAGTAAATTTTCCCATGGGGCTCTGCCCAATCTTATCCTGCAATCCGGCACCTAGAAATGTGCTCAAATGTCTGACCACATCCTTGGATTCAGGACTAAAATATTGTGAAGATTAGCAGGAGAAGATTCGATCTTCAATCCCTAAACGTCCCGAGATGAATGAGTATTTAAAGTGCACTTCGGCAGCTTCAGCTGGCAAACCGCAACGTTGTGGCCGAACACAGTGGTAGCTTAATCTGGAACATTGTAACCTTTCAGAGGTGTAGTGCACGATGTGAAGGTTCGGGACCGCAGGGTAGACCGCAGGGTATCGTTTTCGTTACTGTTTGCAGTGCTGCTGCTGGCCGATATTGCTCCGCTTGTCACCCAGTAAAGCCGAGTTGACTTCGGAAGTTGCTGTAAGCCAGTTCGAACGTTGCTGACTGGCCAACTGCCTTTCTCGCATGTAAAGCTGCAGATAGAACACAGCCGTATTGACCAGCCCCCATTGAAACGCGATAGCCGTGATAGCACGGGACTATTCGATTTATTGCACGACGATGTGCGTTGTTGCACGCGCTTGTTGCACATGTAAACTGGTGATGCGTGATCGAAGTGGCCGCAGGAATGACTCGCACGGGCTAAGAGCTCAAACGTGTCGTGTGAGTATTCCTTCCGTACAGGTCTGCTCAGCCGTGCAGGTCTGCGCAGTATCACTTTTGCTTCTCTGCCGTCGCTCCACCTTTGATGAGGTGCCAGAAGCAAGGCACGGGAGATTCGTCCAAGGTCTCAACCTTTTTGCGATAGCTTCAAGCGCCAATGCACTTCAGCCAACGGACAAGCACCAAACAAAGGTGATGCTGGGAACATCCAGCAATTTACTGTAGTCAACGGACCAGCACAGCATCACCTTTAGTCCACCAAACAGCATTTTCTTGACCAAAAACGGTGGTGATGCTGGCGGCGTCAATCAATTTAGTCTATATGGATGGTGATGCTGGAGGTGTCGACAAATTTTGTCTACTTTGAAAACTCGAGTTTGGAAACTGCAACATCTGCTTCAAATTTTAGTCTCGAGTCTACGGCTGACAAAAACGGGGGCGAAGCTAGTGGTGTCGACCAGTTTGGTCTACGGACTAGCACGACATCTATGTTTAGCCAATGCCAGTCAGTCGCACGGTTTTGAGGGCTTGGAGCGGTCCCGGTCGTACCTGAAGGGATTTGAACCCGCCCAACTTGGATGGTGCGACCAGGTCTTACGCTGTCCGAGCAACCGTTACTCAATACCACCGCCTAGCCAATGCCAATCAAAAGCACGACGAGTAGAGTCGAACTCGAAAAGCGCAACTCCGAAATTTGTTTTGCCAGGAACAATCTTTTGCACAAACGCATTATGATATACCTGTCTCTCATACTGCCTAGAAGTAGAAAATGGTGACAATGGGGCCCAGTCCAAGCTTGGATAATGTTGATGGCAGGGAGTTGTGGCTTTGAGCCGAAAAGAAATATAACCCAATAGTATCATCACAGCCCCAAACGTACCTTGCATAAGAGGTTCACGCTAGCATGTCTAGACGAAAGCCTCTGTGAATAAGCATCATCTTCCTCTGTTTGACAAGGTCCCAACGTTTTCGAATCCATGTTGATTGTCAGAGCTGAAAACTCTCTCCTCTCTCTCCAGGCCCCCCCGCATGCAATGCGCGCACCTCGAAGCAGCTCTCGCAGCTCTCGCGGCCCGGTGAAGGTTGGGAGGGTAGCTGTCCGTTTTTGAAAATTCCTCTACGGCCAAAAGATTGGAAGGCAAGCCAAAGCTCCTGTGGCAAAAAAGATGCCCTTCCCCCAGCACACGTGCTGAGTCGATGCCCCCTTTGTACCAGATCACCACGACAACCTCCAGGGCCCTCATTTTCCTGCATCTCAACTTCACAGCGACGTGCAACCACACTGATACTTGGGCAGCACCGGTAACCTGCAATTCAAGCTGAGTGGTCTGAAAGCAGGGCTGCACTTATGTGCCTGTGACACTAAACTTTGCACATGTCTACCTTTGCGTGTCTTCCCCTGCGTGAGTAAGCCCAACCGTCAACTGATATCAGAATTCGATCACGCAAAACATCTGCATCGATGCTACCCGATCCTGCGCAACCTGACAAATGAATACAAGCAAACCTCAGACCAAGGCTCCTGCATGATAAGCCATGCCATGTCTTTTACATCAACTCCCGAAAGTGACTGAGCATGGTGCACGCTCAAATATGTGCATGACTCCCCCAGCCAGTCTCGGAGATGAACCCAGGCTCCCTGCCATGAGCGAGCACGGTCTCCAAATATTTTGCCCACTGAGAGGCAAGTAGATATTGGGCAACCTGCGACACCGCTGCAGAATGCTGCGGGAAATGGTTCCGCGCTTTGCGATGGCGACAAGGCAACAGTGAGGCAAGGCCAGGGGCAAACACACCGGAAGATCCGAAGCCACCACCGCCATGCCCAAATCACTGGGTAATTCATGAAACACACGTCAGTGGCAACCATCTCCCCCCTTCGAGGCCTGATGCAGGGAATGCAGGCGCAAGGGCCTCGCGAATGGGGAAACCCCTTCGAAGCCGCCCTTCAAGTAGTCACAAACAGGACGCGATCAGTGTGGAGTATAACCACATATCCAGATCTGCGAGTTCCCGTTCACTCGTACATGGAGCAACTGACTTAGTGAGCTACACCGTTCATATGATTAGGCATATGACGCGTTTATATGGATGCTTGCATTTACACATATGTGTTGAATATACACAAACAAAAAACAAACAAACAAACAAACAAACAAACAAACAAACAAACAAACAAACAAACAAACAAACACACAAACAAAGACAGAAAGCAAGAAAGCAAGAAATCAAGAAAGCAAGAAAGCAAGAAAGCAAGAAAGCAAGAAAGCAAGAAAGCAAGAAAGCAAGAAAGAAAGAAAGAAAGAAAGAAAGAAAGAAAGAAAGAAAGAAAGAAAGAAATAACGAAAGAAATAAGAAAATAAGGAAATAAAGAACGAAAGAAAGAAAGAAAGAAAGAAAGAAAGAAAAGTAAGACTGAAATAAACCAACAAACAAACAAACAAACAAACAAACAAACAAACAAACAAACAAAGAAACAAGTAAGAATTACACACATAAACACGCAGATGATGGTCATTAAATATATATATAATATATATATATATATATATAAGTGTGTATATGCATATGCTCATGTATAATGTGTATCCCCCCACTAGTTGTTCGTGTCCAGTCATTTGTTGCAAGGCATGAGAAGCTGCACAGCGTTCTTACGGTGAAGTCTTTGGGCTTGAGGGGCCAAGATTTCATTTGACAGCAAGAGCCCTGAGCAATCTTGGCGCTCAGTCCTTGGTCTGCAGGGGCGCCAAAGCGCTTTGATTATTGAGGGCACCAATTTCCAGAAGAAAAAAACAGCGCAATCATGGTTCTTGGTTTTGGCCCTCTTTGGATCACAGCGAGCCGCGTCCGGCTGCCCGGAAGCGAGCCCCCACCCCTAAATCCCTGTGCCCGGGCGCAGCCCAATCGGCCCTTGCCCCAGACTGAGCCCCAGCTGGCAGCTCCCAAACTCAGCCCCAAGCTCAGCCAAGCTTGCGGCGCAGCCCAGCATGAGCCAGTTAGTTCTCTTTCTTGCTCTTCGCTCAACCAGAGAATTTCACTTTCTGCGGTCTTGCCCCATTCCCAGCCCAGCTCATTCCAGCCACTGGAGCGATCGCTTTCCCGGGCGCCCTCCAGACTGCTCAACCCGGCCCCGGCATCCTTTCCCATCCTCGTGCGCTTTACTCATGCAGAAGGCGCAAACGAAAGAACGTTGCACCTCTTTAGCTTCGGCTGCCACTGAGAGGTCTTGCGTGAAGTCCTGACAGAAGTCGTCTTACTCTTCAAGGTGACTTCTAAGGAACATACAAACACATGTTGCAAACGGTAGCGCGTCTGGGTAATAATGTACTTGCGCACTAGCTGGCGCAACGTTGCAGAAGTTTGCAGATATCAGCTCAGTGGACGCGCATCAACCTTATCCCTGGCGCACTGTACGATGTTGCGGGCATTGCTGCGCTTACACCCACCACCATTTGCGTCCACCACGCCAGGACATTGTGCCCTACTTGTGACATTCGCACTGCTCAAGCTAGCTTTGCCATTTGGCTCAAGTCAAAATGGTGTGGCTATATTGCGTAGCACTGACTTATCTGGCCCTTGTCGCCAAACAGCGTTTGTTGACTTGTCATGCGCAAACCCATGCACAAAGTATTCCGGCCATTTGCGTTAAAGCACTTAATGCTTCGCATGGTGCATTGCGAGGGTGCAAACGCTTTTGTCTCTTCACCCCGTCTCTTCTGATATGGCCGAAGGCCCTTCAGGTTCTCGTGTGCATGCTGCACTTTGCGCAGGGCACTCTGTTGGCCACAAAATCGGCACTTGGGGGGGTAGTCTGGCGAGGTAGAATCAGGACTTCTGCCTGGCTTGCTTCTGTTGGTCTTGGCTCCGCAAACGTCATCGCAGCCCTCGCCAGCTTCCACAGACCGATGGAGCAAAGCTGCGGTGGGGGGAAAAAAACAAGCTCCTCCGTCTTATGCGCAGCTGTGGGTATTGTGGCAACTGTCAAAGCTACACACGATTCTGCCTCCCAGTTTGACGCGCATGTGCGGAAAGTGAGTCGTCCCAATGTTCGCACTCTTTGCAATGTGGCAAACTTGGGACGATCCCACGTGACGGGAACAAGGCTTGGCAGAATCGTCCAAGGCGTCAACATTTGCAGGGTAGCTCAACACGCTCAAGGTGCCACTTTCCCAGACCGTATGCCATTTGCTCCGTCGAAAGTGGACCAAGTTGCCAATTGGCCGAAGGCTGCAAGTGGCTGTTGTGCAAGTCTCTAGAATGATTTGCATCCCCGCGGTTTTAGTAATGGCAACAGCTTGAGTTTGTTTAAACTTAAATTACCCATCGTATAAATTAGGCTGCAAGCAGCACACAACATCTGCAATCACCTGATGTGTGGTCGTGCACTCTCCAACTAGCTACGAGTGAGCACGAAGGAGAAACTCCCGCTACTTGTACTTGCTCCCCGTCGCCCCTCAGCTAACCCCAACCCCCTTCGCCTCATGGCCACATGCCGCACCACCTTGGGCAGTGTGGCATCCGCGCCTGAGCTTGGCGCTGTGTCAAATGGTCAGATCGAGGCGCGTGGGTACGCAAGCCTGACACCGGGTAATGCAGTTGCCTGGCCAAGGGCATGTTTCGTCCCTTGAGAAAGCATATCTAGACTGTCTAGTCAGCTAAAAAAATGTCAAGAGAGTCAGCGTTTGTGATGCAAAGGTGCGCCAAGCATGACAGCACAAGAGGCAACAGGGAGTAAAACAATGAGAAAGAATGAAGTTACTTGCAAGCAAGGCATACCTTGCCACATTTCCCGCAGGACCTGTCGACGCTCTGGAGTTGCTTCCTATACAGCTGGCACTCCGCAACCTGTGAGCCAGCGGATGCTTCAACCACAAGGGCACTTTTGAGGCACCATGATTCTCTCTGGAATATCTTTTTGATTTAGGACCCACCTCTTCCCCTCTGCCCACTGGAGCCCGGACCCAACAAAAGCTGAAGCAGCTGCGAGCAGCCAGGGCGGTTCAATGCCCTCAGTAGCACCTGGGCGAGAAACAGCAAGGGTGTCTGTGTTTCTTGTCATTGAAAACAGCTTTTGAAAATGTGCAGTGCATTCATAAGCGATGTTTGTTTGTTTATGTACAGGGCAAAAGAGAGAGAGAGAGAGAGAGAGAGACAGAGACAGAGACAGAGACAGAGACAGAGAGAGAGAGAGAGAGAGCGAGATACAAGTGTATATTTACTTAAGAATGTTTTTACTTATTTGTGTATGTATTCATCTATGTACTTACCTGTTAATTTGTGTGGTTGTGTTTGTCGGTGTGCTTCTTGATTCATTTAGAAAGCTAGTAATTAGTCATCTTCGTACCTCACGATTTATTTATTGTATGCATCGATCATGTATGAATCTATATATATATATATATATATATATTTGTCCGGGTATGTATCAAAAATGGGGGACCCCCAAAATGGGTGGTGTCCTTGTGGCTGTCCTTTAAGGCCATCCCATCCAAAAAAGACGCCCTGGAAAACGAAGAGGGCTGGGGACTCTGGGAGGTGCACGTGTTGCATATGTTTAATTATCTTTGTATATAAGTCTATGTATGTCGCTTGCGCTGGACTTGACTATGCAGTATAGTTGATTACATTGAAGTGCAGCGTTTGATATCCAATAACTATAACCTTAATCAGTAGATAAATGTGAATCTTGTAACTTGTGCTGTATATTATTATGTGACTGTAAAGTGAGCGAGCAACTTGCAACTGTAAGATTTTGCCCTTCCTACTTTAGTCTTGGGATTTGCGAATGCGAATGCTCGTTTAATTCAAATAAATCAGGAGGCAGTGTGTAAGCCAGATTTTGAATTGGCCTACGAGGCAAATCCTAGAAGGGGTGCTAGCTTACAAACCCATGAATTGAGAATTGTGCAGTAGCTTAATCTTGATGAATCTTTATATCAACTTTGGTCCTTGTAAATATGTATATACATACATACATACATACATACATACATACATACATACATACATACAAACATTACATACATACATACATACATACATACATACATACATACATACATACATACATACATACATACATACATACATACATACATACATACATACATACATACATACATTACGTACATACATAATACATTACATACATACATACATACATACATACATACATACATACATACATACATACATACATACATACATACATACATACATTACATATATACATACATACATACATACATTACATACATACATACATACATACATACATACATACATACATTACATACATACATACATACATGAATACATACATACATACATAGCAAACATACATGCATACAACCATACATACATACATTCATTCATACATACGTACATACATTACACACATACATACATACACACATAC